GTCAGAAGATCTCCCTAAGGAGGGGGATGAACGCCTCCTGCACCAAAGCCGTACTATCCTGAAACGAGAGAACCTGGATCCCGACCTGTTTCCCGCCGCTGTGTACTCTAACCGAACCCAAGATTGCCAAGAAAGTACGCTTCGCTGTAACCACCCGCAGCAGAGAAACCCCGATCCTACCGACACCACCGACCATTTAGATTCCGACGACACCGTAAACTTTGCCAGAAAATGGCAAAGTTATAGAGCCTGCAATCCACTTGCTATATCTGTACCCGACCCCGCGATACGACTAGAAGACTCAGAAACCCTTCTAAACCTTCCTGCCGACCTGCTTACCCTGTTCCACGAAGGCTACCAAGCCGACCCTGTACCCCGAATCTGTCCTGAAATCCCTACGAGAGGGATCCCGAAACACCCGAAAATCACTCTTGCCGAGTGTACCGAAAACAACAACCTGCTGTATTACCGAGGGAAACTATACGTTCCCGACCACGACCCCCTGAAAACCTATCTGCTCCGCCCTGTACCACGAATCGCCCGCCGCCGGTCACCCGCACCGTACCCGAACCTTCGAATTACTGTCCCGAAACTACTACTGGCCTGGATACTACGATTATGTTACGCAGTGGGTCCGTAACTGCCATAGTTGCCACCGCGCTGCCCGAATCGTAGAGGCCAGGAGGGAGTTCTCCGCCCGCTCCCGATCCCGCAGAGAGCTTGGCAAGATATCTCGATAGATTTCATTACACACCTGCCCGAAAGTACCGTTTCGATGCTATCATGGTAGTAGTCGACCGATTGACAAAAATGAAACATTTCTTGCCTGCTATGGTACCTGCAACTCCGAAGAGGTCGCCCGCCTGTTCCGGAAGAATATCTGGAAGCTCCACGGCTTACCCTTGTCCATTATATCTGATCGTGGAGCTCAATTTGTCTCTGAATTCTGGAACATATCTGCAAGCGCTTGGGCGTAGCCGCCAAGCTCCTCGACCCGCTTACCACCCCGAAACTGATGGACAAACCGAGAGGGCTAATGCGATGCTAGAGCAGTACCTCCGATCGTACGTAGCATATCTACAGGATGATTGGGCAGAGTGGCTCCCACTTGCCGAATTCTCCATCAACAACGCCTGGTCGAAAGCACCCGGATGACCCCGTTCTTCTCGAACTACGGGTTCCACCCCCGCCCTGGGCTTCGAGCCCGCACCGTCCCAGAGTAACCGTCCTCCGTGCGAGACGCCGAAGAATTCGTTTGCTAAAATGGAAACCATCTCCTCGCACTTACAGACCGAACTGACCGCTAGTCAAGCTCGATATTCGAAGAATGCCGACGCCCACCGTTCCCCTGCCCGTAGATACCTGCCCGGCGACCTGGTCTGGCTGAACGCCAGAAATATCAAGACCCTGCGCCCACAAAAGAAGCTCGATTGGAAGAACCTCGGGCCCTTCAAAATCTTGAATCCGGTAGGCCCCTATGCCTATAAACTGGAGCTCCCGGCCTCGATGAAGATTCATCCTGTTTTCCATGTCAACCTGCTATATCCTGCACACGATGATCCTGTTCCTGGGCAGCGTAATCCGCCACCACCCCCTGTAGAAGTAGACGGCCTCGAGCGTTTTGAGGTTGCCGAAATCCTGAACTCCGCTGGGAAAGAAGAGGTCGTGGAGGACCTCGCCTGAAATACACTGTCCGTTGGGTCGGCTACGATACGCCGACCGAAGAACCTGCGAGCTACCTGGAAGACGCACAAGAACTGATCCGCAACTTCCACCGCGTAGATACCCTGACAAACCCGGTCCCGCTTGACCGGGCCCCGCCTGCCTGTAGATTGTAAACCGTGACGTGCCGCCTCGACGGAGCTCGGACCCTTAGGAGGGGGGTAATGTCACGGTGTGAGCTCACGTGATATGCTAGTCCTATCGGAGAGGACCGAAAGGAGCGCTCACACCGGAGCGCAAGCGAGCTAGGGCCCGATCGGTTTAGCTCGCTGTGAAATTCCGTATATCTTCAACTCAGAAGATCCTGTATTGTAGCTCTTTGAGCTACGTCTAATCCTCAATCTGAACCTATTACCCGAATCAGTATAACTTTGCCAGATTAGGGTAAAGTTACTAGAACCCTATCCCGCCCGCCTGCCCCCGTGATAGAACCACGTCTTCCGTATCTCTCTCGAACCAACATATAAGAATCTCAAAAATTTGAAAATCAATAATATAAGATTCAAATAAATAACTGAAATCCTTTTTTTTATTAATTATTCTTTTATATTTAAAAGAAATAGTTTTGTATATATTAATAAGAGTTTATTCAATAATAATCTATATATATTGAAAATACTTTTCTTGAATTAAAGTATTAGTTATTTGATATATACTTTGAAGATATATTGATATAATTCGAGTACTATTAGTTTCAAAATATCTAATTTTGTAATAATTATATCTCTATTCTACTTTACTTTTTTTAATAAGGTATATTGTTTTAGGGATTCTTATTTGATAATATATTTTTTAAATTCTATATCATTAAGGATGAGTTATTACTGCTATAGAATTTGTACGTATAGTAGATTTTAATATTGAGTGGTGCTATAGGTATTAAGGTAGTATAATCTAGATAGTAAAGGATTGAAGAATTGAGATACAAGGGTTATTTTTGGTGAAGATTCAATAGATTTAATTAGAAAGAAAAACTTGTCGCGAAGGTAGAAATTGATTAGATTAAGCGTTCTCTTATGAAAGTAAAATCAATAGCATTTAGAATCTCAGATATATAAGTATAAAATATTTTGAAGAATTGAAAGTGAAGCTCGAATAAAATAATAAACAGAATACTATTAACGATTTTATTTTATTAAAGAATAAAAGATTAATAAAAATTATTATTTTATTATTTCTTTATAATCTTTTAAAACAATCGAATTTGTAAAAATAATATTCTGATATCAATATTTATATTCAAAGATATCAAAAAGATCAAAATATTCAATAATATTGATGATTTATTGTCAATTAATAATAATTTAATTGAATATATAATTTGATATTATTGAAATCTAAAGATAACCTCAAATTCGCATATTTCGGCTTATTCCATACTAATCAGAGATTCATCTTCCTATATCTTATCAATGATATTCAATATTAGAATGATATTGAATATCTTTAGTAATATCGAATTCCATACCACATACATACATATTTCAAAGAAAAATCGATATGTACCACTATCTAGCCCGTATACGAATTACGGGAAATACTATTGCCTACACTGCCCTGGGAAGAGGAAATAAAGTGGCCACGGGGATGCAGTAGTCTCGTCTTCCCAATACTGAAATCAAGCACCAAACTTCTCTATCTCCTGCTGGCTGACTTTAAATACTCCCTTCAACAAACTGCGGTCGTAGTATAATCTCACATCACCAATCTGTAACCCCTCGAAACCCACTTCTTCTACCATCTCCCCATTAGCGTCCAGTTTCTTTCCCGTTCCCTCGCCCTCAGCTTTCACCAACGTAAATACCATACTCCTCGGTACACTAATTTTTTCCCCTGTGCTCTTCACCCACCAATGCGCTATCCACTCTCCATATATTTTCCATTCCCCTTTTCCTGCTGGACCCGTTATCCCTTCTTCGAATCCTCCGATTACAAAAAACTCCTTACTCTCCATTTCTATCTTCGAAAATATTTCACCTCCGAACAACCCCTGAATCCATTTCCATATTACGGCGCCGCCGATATAATCAACACCAGTAGCGTCGTGAAAGATGCTACGTGGATGATAATAGGGAAGATAGGAACCAGAGTAGGATGCGGAGTTGATTTTACTGGCGTAGTGTTCGAGGAAATGGAGAGCAGGATTTTGACGAGAGGAGGGGGTGGGGAAGGGTCCGGTGTGTTGATGGATTGTGAGGTTTGCGGTGGACATTTTAAAAGATGAGAGGTTTTCTTGGAGCAACTTTTGAGGAGGTCTTTTTTCGAAAGGTTCGCTTCTTTGGAAAAGCTTCTTGAGATAGATACTTCTTGATTCCGGTTGAAGTGGTGATATATATATAGAAAGGTTGATGATGGTGGGGTTGTAGCTGACGATATATATAACTCGAGTATCACTAATCACCGAGATGTACGAATAGTAATCATACGAAATGGAATCAAATGTAAGGTCAAATTGATGTAAATACCTAGGTAGTCATCATGATTATTCTCATCGATTCTTAAACCTCGGTAAGAATTGCTGTTGTATATTGATTTGTAAACATATGAACGTACGAGATATCTTCTTGATATATAATGAAATAGAAAAGATGAAAGAGGAGAGATATTTCAAAGAATGTTTTAATTTCTAATATAATAAGATTATACAGTGAAAATTAACTTAATCAGTAGATATATAATATTCGTAAGATTTTAAAACTTGATTTTAAAAGAAAAGTGAATTTATAAATATTACGCGGTTTACTCTATAAATTTTAAATGTATTTATTTGTACTAATATATATTGGGCTCAATACTACATTTGGTAAACACTATATTCGGTCTAACATGTCCTAATATATTGAGTCTAAAGTTATTTTTTTGATCCGAACGAGCCCTAAAACAGTAAGATAACTCTCTAAAAGCGTACCTATTTACCGAATATTATAGTCTCATTCTAACTGGGTGAGATCCCATATAATAAGCTGAATAGCCTGAAATGTGATGATTGCTGCCTTCATTGCTTGCCTCAACATTCTTCCGTGTTTAAACTACCTACTTTCTATAGATAAAATTCTCTCTACATATGATCTTGACATTTATTCTCATGTCAAGAAACAACGAGGAAAGCTTTTGGATCGCTTACTGTGATTATACGCCACCTTACTGCGTCTACCCCATTTTTTCCCAAGTTTAAATACAGAACTTCATTTCCAACATTTTCTAAGCATTTTCAAAACAAACATATTCATACTTTGCCTTCTATTCCATCTGTTGTGTTTCCATCAAAACATTCAAAGATGGCTTCGTCTGTGACATACACGGCTTCGGATGCATTTTTTGATGCTCTGAGCGAGGTTCGTGCAATGGGCCTGCTCTATATTCAAAGCATTAACTAACAGTTGCAAGTTTGGCATTCAAGCCGTAATTGTTCATGTTGGTGTTGGAACTCAAGCTCTGGGGGCTGCCATGCGTGAGTATCTCTGCTTCTTCGACCTAAGCCCACAATCCTCAGGTATAGCATAAGAAGCAATTACTGACTCGCCTGTCTTCATAGATGATGCTAACACAGGACGAGCACCTGTTTTGATATTTGCCGGCCTGTGCCCATACACTGAGGACGACGAAATACCTGGGTCAAGAACTGAATACCAACATTGGCTACAGATGCACCAGATCAAAAGGCTCTCGTTCGACAATATTGTCGCTACGTAGGAGAGTTCCGTACGGGGTCTACCGTGAAGAAAACTGTTGCACGAGCGCTGCAGTTTGCTACTAGTGATCCCAAGGGACCCGTATATCTGGCCGGAGCCCGAGAAATGATGGCCGAGACTGTTCAGCCTCAGAAATTTGATGCTGGACAGTACGGACCTATCGGCCCCTCTGCCTTGGTCCAATCTGCAGTCAAAAAAATTGCAGAAGCTTTGTTAAATGCTAAGTCGCCTCTCATTATTACCAGATATTCCGGTAGAAACCATGCTTGTCCTGCAGAGCTAGTCAAATTAGCAGACATGATTCCTGGATTGCAAGTTTCAGACACCAGTGGTTGTGACATGTGCTTTCCAGCCTCACATCCTGCATACCTTGGTTTTCGTCTCAGCTTTGATAAATCTGCAACCGAAGCTGATGTGATATTTGTTCTGGATTGCGATATTCCATGGATTCCTTCTCGCAATCGTCCTCGTGAGGATGCAATCATATATCATGTTGACGTCGATCCCCTGAGTTCCACAATGGGGTTGTCTTTTTTTCCCGCAGAAGGGAGATGGAAAGCGGATAGTTATATTGCTTTAACCCAAATTAATCAGTATCTTACAACCTCAGAGCTTGCGAAGGAAAAACTCGCAGACGAGGAATCTGCAAAACGACATAAGGTTGTTGCCAAGAAATACCAAGAACGCATGGAATCCATCGCTAAGCTTGCAACCGCGCCTTCCGATGGCTCGCTCGATATTCATTACGTTGGAGCCGCGCTAAAATCCGCTGCACCACGGGACACAATATTTGTCGTCGAAGCTGCAACGTGCGCAATGCCTTTATCGGACCAACTACAAGTAGAAATCCCTGGCTCTTGGATTAATTCTGCTGGTGCCGGCTTGGTATGGAGTGATGGAGCGGGTCTGGGGGTTAAGTTAGCATACGATGCTGCCGGGACTCCAAAGTTTGTTTTTCAGGTCGTGGGTGATGGAACCTATCTATTCACAGTTCCTGGAAGTTTCTATTGGACTGCATCTCGATACGGTATACCCGTTTTAACAATCGTGCTCAACAATAGAGGTAAGTTTCTAATCATCATTATCTATTCTAATTTTGATACGTATGAGATTATTCAAAATATGCTAACTATATGTGATACAGGGTGGAACGCACCACGCCAATCGCATCGACTCGTTCATCCAACAGGCCTTGGTGCCAAAGCGTCGAATAAGGACATGCATATATCATTAGATCCTTCTCCTGACTATAGCGGAACAAAAAGCAGCAGCTGGGGATAATTTTGGCTCCCTTCAGGGTAGCCTATTCGCAGCGAAAGTTTCTACAACTACGGAACTAAGTGATGTGCTCAGCAAGGCTGTGAAAGAGGTTCAAAATGGGCGTGGAGCCTGTTGTAGAAGTAGTATTGAATGTTGATGAGATGGGCGATTTCAAAACGCGTCGAGAATGAACACCTTCGAAATGAGATTTTTCGATTGTAACTTCCAACTTATCAATCATAGCAAAAATTACAATTTTTGCGCAGCGTGTTTTGCTAGTCTTCTTGTTTGAAAGCTTTTTGATCACTCCAAGTAATGAACTACTCCTTGCCATTTACTGTGCGTTTCACTCAGTTCCGTATTTACTGTGCCTCTCACCCACTTCCGTATTTACTTCTTTTACCCATTTCCAACATCTCCTGCACTGCACTAGGTCATCTGTTTTGGTGCTCGTGTATAACAGGTTGTCAACGCAGCTTATGTATCCTAGTACTGTTATGTAACCTTATCATATCACTTTCTTGTCTAGATATAACCAACCCACACCAAGAGTTGTGAAGTAACTAAAATCTACATGGATGGGAGGCGCATAACAGAGGCACATCAGATGCCTGTGATCCACTAAAATACTGCATATCATTTTAAAAAAGAAAGTGGTTATTGTAGAGAAATGCCTTGATTGGAGCTATAACGATCCAGGTTGTTAAACCCGTGCCACAACCAATGTCGGTGCTTATCATCACTGGTTCGGATCACGTTACGTATTAAGCAAGAAAGCACAAACTGAGCCACCGGAGTATCTCCTCTCGCTAAGGCCTAGGCTAATAGCGGGGATGTGAAAGAGAGGTACCGAAATTATTTCCCTCTACACGTTTATCGCGAGGGTGTGAAAGAATGGCAGCTAAGTACTAGTGTCTTCTCCTTCCATGGCTAATGGTGGGAATGTGAAAGAGAGGCACCGAATTATCTCCTCCCTCTACGACCTCTGATTGGTGAGCAAGCTTTTCAGACACACAATGATTGCAACACAGCCTACACACCAACTGACTGAGTCACTCATAGTTTTAATACTTTCAAGCTTCGCCATGACTGGGATTCTAGAGCAATATTCCTCATAGAACTTGCTCTTTTAGTTTATTTGACCAGTCTAAACAAAAGAACTGCACAGATCTTGTTCATAGTATCATCATGTCGGACTCATTAGTCGAAAAATGCTTCCCACCTACAATTGCAGAAACGGATTCAGGTATGATTGTAGATGGTTTTCAGGCGACTTCCTCTCTCTATGATAACTCCCATTCTTCACTTGCACACAATTGGTCTCCAGTACGTAGTACATAGCCACTTACCTGTTTCATCACTGATGATATGCTTCTAGGGAAAAAAGCTATATGTCGTGTCAACTGGCCTCTTCATAAACTTCAACACATGTCTCAGTGCGGCACTTCCAACTGGTGCACTGGAAACTCTCACTGCGGCGTTCAATGTGACAAGTCAAGAGCAAAAGGCACTTCCAGTAGCTGTTTAAGCATTGACTATTAGAATTATAGAAAAGGTGAACGGAAAAGAATAAGCATAGAAGCTAAAAGAAAAAAAAAGTAAGTGTAAGAATTAAAGGAAAAGGGGAGTGAGTGTAAAAGCTAAAGAGTAGATAGAAAATATTAATCGAAAATCTAAAAAGGAATCTATTCACAGATCATTCATTTTACTCTCGATTTATTTTTTAATTAAAAACTTTACTACTATACCATATAATACAGAATATATCGTTTAAACAAGTATACTAAGCAATTCTAATCTATATAATTATAATTAATAATTGATTATTAATTGAATTCAATACAAATAAACTTTTTTATTTATAAATAATCTTAAACTAAAACTTTCAAAAATCAAAAAATTTCTAAAATTTCTTTAAATCTTTTTAAAGTAAAATTTTCTAATTATGTATATATATAAAAATTAATTATATTAATACTTTACAATTCATTTTTTAAATATAATATTAAGTATTGAAATTTTAGAATCAATTAATAAAACAATTAATTCGTTAACCACAGATTCTGCCACCACATGTATACATGTTCTAGTACTATTGTACACCTTTAGCATATAATAATACTATTATGAAATAATTTCAATAGAAGAATTAGATACAATAAATAAGGGATGAATTCAATTATAATTCTTGATACTTTAAAACACTTCTATCTCTATCTAACACAAGACGTAACTGTGTACTTGAGGCGGTTTCGGTGTCTCGTGGAATGAATGACTTTCTTTGTAACTCCTCCAAATATAATTCGTAAGCAGGCATATAACCTTGAACGAACTGAATGACACTTGCGTCGGTCATACTAGTTCCTTTTACTTTCCACATATTGTGCTCCTGCTCTATTCTCCACCTGTAAACGTTGGCAAGCTCTTCTGTATCGAGATGAATCAAAGCGTTGAAGTTTGTTGGGTTCATAAACGTTGTATTATATCGACAAAGGTTGCCATTGATCATTTCGAGATGACCAAGGGGATGATTTTGAAGTGCGTTTATTGGAAACGTCGCATCTTCACCCGACCTCGCCGTCTGATCCTCTTTCTGCGCACTTTCCCATTTTCGCTCGAGCTCATCTCTTTCTAATGACTTGAATCCTACACACCATCCTTCAAAGATAACAATATCCAATATATCATCTTTACTTGGAATAAAAACCTTCCAATCTTCCTCTGGAACTCGATCTCCTTCGCCCTGGAATCTGCTCTTATCAAATGCCGGAATCTTGATGATACCAGTAGTGAGTGACTCAAAAAACTGGCTCACAAGTGCTTCATCGTGTGTTCCTGGTTGTCCTCGTACTTGTAGTAGTCCGTTATCCCGATTCCGATTTTTAATCTTAACCAAAGTCTCGTGATCATGATAAAAGTCGTCGAGAGAACAAACGATGAGCCTAAACTGGTGTTCGTATTCCAAGGCTAATGCAAGCTGACTGGCATAAGTTGATTTGCCACTACCTTGCAAGCCAGATAAGGCAAGGAGAAACGGGCGGTTGAATTCTGTGTGCTGATGCTGCCACTTCTCGTGATGAGCTTGAACTCGAGGGACAACAAAACTCAAGATCTCCTGAATAACATCGTTTGGAATTGCCATAGTACCGGCAAGAGCAGTCAAGAGCGGCCCTTTGACAAATCTGGGTTATGCCTATAGGCGACTTACTTGACTTGAGGGCAACACTTGTTGAACCATTCGGCAACAGTTTTTGTCAAAAAACCACATCTTTCATGAGGTGCGTACGTCAAAAGTGCAACGGAGTTTACTTTCCCCGGTGACTTCGTACCCGACATCTGCAATTAGCATGGGGTTCGGAGTTGTCTTTCGCCGATATCCTTGCAAGCGACTAGGATCGGCTACTGATATTATCCCTACAATCTTCTTCCTTACTGCCGATTCATCTCTACGTCAAGTCTTTTATTAAGTCATCCATTCCTCAATAAATACGATATAAGTCAAATCAGAACAATTTTATCTTTCAATAAAACTCATCTACATTTCTGGTTACCAATTGTTCTTACAGTACAGCTAAAATGTCTCCATCTACTATCAATTCGGCAAAGGAATATAGCATCGCGTCCATTCCAGCTGATGGGATCGGACCTGAAGTCATCGATGCAGGTATTCAAGCTCTCAATGCTCTCGCGACGACAATGGGAACATTCAAGCTCAATTTCACACACTTTGATTGGAGCTCGGAGACCTATAAGAAGACGGGAAAATATATTCCTGAAGGTGGCCTTGAAGAGTTGAGAAAGCATGATGCTATTCTCTTTGGTGCAGTTGGTGCTCCAGGTAAAGGATACAGGATAACACTATTGAGAAACTAGTACTAATCATCATCAGACGTTCCCGATCACATCTCACTCTGGAGTCTCAGATTAGCCATCTGTCAATCTTTTCAACAATATGCAAATGTTAGGCCAACTAAAGTTTTCCGTGGAACCAAATCTCCACTTCGGGACTGCAAGCTCCTAGATTGGGTTATCGTTCGTGAAAATAGTGAAGGTGAATACGCTGGACAAGGCGGTCGTTCGCATCGGGGTGAAGCTTGGGAGACTGCGACTGAAGTAGCAATCTTCACTAGACACGCTGTTGATAGAATTCTTCGTTTTGCATTTGAAACTGCGCAGCAGCGACCACGAAAGATGCTGACGGTGGTAACTAAGAGTAACGCACAACGTAATGGCATGGTTCTCTGGGATGAGGTGGCGAGAGAAGTTGCAAAAGACTTCCCAGATGTAAAGATGGACTTTATGCTTGTAGACGCAATGACCTGCAGGATGGTATTAAAACCAGAGTCTTTGGATACAATTGTCGCAACGAACTTAGTGAGTACTATCATGACCAGGAGGAGAGCCTGAAAGTTTTGTAATCATTGAACTGATAGTTTGTAGCACGCTGATATTCTTTCTGATCTTGCCGCTGCTCTCGCAGGCTCTATCGGTATTGCCCCAACATCGAATCTGGACCCTAGTAGGAAGAATCCTAGTATGTTTGAGCCTATTCACGGCTCTGCATTTGACATTACTGGAATGGGAATTTCAAATCCTGTCGCAACATTCTGGACTGCTGCGGAAATGCTGAAATGGCTCGGCGAGGAAGAAGCGAGTCAAGTTCTTCTAGAGTGTGTTGAAAAAGTGTGCGAACAGGTACGTTCTATATCAATTAAATCGTTTGTAAAGATACTAACAACCTTAGGGCATCGTAACTAAGGATCTTGGAGGAAATGCAAGGACGGCAGAGGTAACCGATGCGGTTTGTGCCGAGATACAGAAATTTTTCAAGGGAAAGAATTCTGCTTAAATATTGTGCCACTTTATGATTTTGTATCGCCTTTCGGTTTAGTTGTAACGATGTTTTGTGTACTCTGGAATGCTTCAATAGACTCTCTGGATTGTTAGTCAACGCAATCCGAAAGATGTGGTCGGATCTGTTGTTGCCGTAGCAAAATTTGAAAAGTCCATCGCAATGAGTGGATCGAACAATCCTCCTTGATAGAGCTCCAGTTGATCCCATTCGTTTTCCGGAATTATTGCTGAAGTAGCTGCTTGTGAGAAAGCGGAGGTTTGCTGCACGTTGAATGGTCGTGGAAATGAAAGTGGGGTTTGCGGTATGCGCCTCTGGGACTCACTGCTATTATGAGGTCTACTAACGTCTGTACGGGTCGAATGACTATTGTAATAAGCTTCGTCAAGAGTGGAAGTGCGATTGTTAGATTGAGATGATGCTTCATTCCTATGTTGTGGCTCAGCTGCGTGCGGTGAATTTAAAATGAAAGTTGCTTGGTTCGGCCGCTTGGATCCGACGATTACTGTTGAAGTTTGATGGCACCTATCAAGCGCATGACTAAGTTGCTTAACGGCATCCGCGCATGAGTCTGGCCATACTGTTTGGCGTAATGAGAGGTGTTCTAGAATTAATAATGTTTCTTTAGCATATCTGACAATGTTAGTGTCATGTGTTGCCGAGAAGGAAGGAGAATGATGACAAACTTTTTTGCCGGTCCAAGTTTGCAATGCCCTTCTAGAGCGGCATAGGCAAGCACAAAACAGCTCATCCATGCAGACCACGTAAAAAGCGGCCAGACCATAGGGACTTTCAGAGCCAGCGATCCATCTGGTGATGCATTATTGCGTTGAAATTCCCTCAGTAGAGAAATGATTGCTCTTGATGCGCTGATGCAATTTTGAAGTGCAGATTGAGAATAAGTGTTTGTCAAATTTGAGGTGATTAATGGCCGATTCAGAGCTATGGTTGACTCATGCTGCAGGATTTGAATAATTAACTTTTGCGCTGGTGATAAAGATGGGCTGTTCTCAGCTTCTAGAGAATCTTCATCTTCTTCGCTGACTTCATTCACCCATTTCGCCAGCTCAACTTGCATTTCCATAGCACGCTCAAAGGTTTCCTCACGACCGGACAAAGATTTGTTGCGAAGCTCCAAGACACGACCACGAATTCGAGAATGTTTAGAAAGGTCTGTTAGAAGACGCAATTGGTGCACTGTTACTTTGATCAGTCACCAGATCATTCTGACAGTTTATGTAACGAACAGACCATTAGACTCTTCCAAGTTCAGTTGATCAGTCCCACTTCGCAGATGTTTCTCCTCGCCTGGATAGCAGACGTCTATATCATCATCTCGAAGATCTAACGGAAGGCCAAGTGACTGCGAAACCATCCGCTCCATACAATAGAGTGACCAAAATACTCTTCGTCTCAGTTGAGATTCCGTAGGAGTAAAGCCGTCATACCGGGTAGGACATCGATGGCAACCAAGAGCATAGGCCATCCTTCTCCCCTATTAACGTCGGTACAGAAAGATAGATGGCGACACACTTACCGAACAGCTAGCCCACCTAGTCGACTGGCATAGTTAAACTTCAACATAGAAATCAAAAATAACTCAAGAGAAATGGTAGCTTGGAGATTCTCAAAAGTTGCTGGAAGACCCATAGTAAGCTGAAAGGTAGAGCCCAATTCTGCGTTGTTGTAAAAAATGAGATGACGAGGAACTTGGGGAAGACGCTTAGTAGATTGGCGACTGTCGGCGAGTGACTGGCTCAATAATTAGGACCATCTCATGGTAGAGCTGCAGGGCAAGGGAATATTCGACTTGCTTACGATTGATATAATCGATCGCACAATCAAGGCGTCGGAAGGTGCAACTGCTTGAATTCCATGTCGACTGATTGCCTCAAAGATCCCTAGCACTGCTGGAGCGTGTAAAAATGGAAAGAGAGGGTGCCAATTGGTAAAATAGCTTTCCGAAAATTCTACGAGCTGATGGAAGGAGATGGGATCAGAGCTTAATTGGGAACTATCGCCAACTTCATTTTCCCGGAAAAATGGAGGGGAAGAGGCGAGAAGATGAGAGTTATTGGTAGATTCTGACAATTGGTCATCCTCGCCCGGCACAATGTTTTCCGAAGCAGGAGTAGCTGTATTCAGATTTGTGTGTGTCGAGTTCGATTTCCCTGCAAGAAGCTCATAAACTGTCCGAATGAAATGAATTCCACTTCCACTACCAATGAATCTGGGCTTGCTCTGATCAAAGCCTGTTCTCATCAAACCAACTTCTCGTGCAGGGCTACTTTCATCATCGACTCTCCTACGTTTGCTGCGATGGCTGTCATTGTGTGGAGAGTGTGGGCGCAGATTGGTAGTAGCATTTGATGTTGGAATCATTACGATTACGAAAGACACGTCAAAGCGTCATCTTGTGAAATTCATAATATGAAGCATGTAGGTCGAGAGTGTTGAATCTCAGCTGGGGGTTGAGTTCTATCAGGAGAGCGGTGGAGGTGGAGAAGCTGTGGGAGGGGTTTTCGCGGTTTGGATAATTGTTGGACAATCATACAAGTATGTGGGCGGGAATGGTTCAAGTGGAGATGAGAGAAAATGTCTTGGTATTTGGGGTATGCATACTCACGTGACAATCTACATAAATACCTGCGCTAAGATATCTCACCGCCCTTGTTTTGAGCAACAATCTCGTCACGCGCTGGTCCGGACAGAGTTACTCCGCTGCAGTTGCAGATTTCCTTGACATTAAACTCGATGGAACCCCCCACTCGATTTCATTTCCCGCAAACTGTAATATCTCGCCCAGAATGTCACTGCCCGTAGCTAGGTTAGCATGTGAGCCCTGTCGCCAGAGAAAATGTAAGGCAAGTGTACTCCTAATTCAAGCCTGTTTCGTTCGCTCACACGTATCGTTAGTGTGATCGAACACTGTATGTCATGTTCATCTATGATATCCCTAAGAGAGAACACTGACGAATCACAGCCCGTCATGCTCCAAATGCCAGGGAGCCCCACAACAATGCTATTACTCCGAAGCGAGTAAAAGGTACCAAAGTGCATATCCTGTACATGTCAAGTTATGGCTTACCAAGTTACTATTCAGAGGTTTACCCCCCGGCTACCTTGCGGGAATTGAACTCCGCCTAGTTGAGACTGAGATCGCTCTACACAGAGCACTATCGAGACTGTACAACCATTCTGATGCCAAATTCCAAGAAAGTCGAGAATTTCCGCAAGTCTCCAAGGGTGAACTGATGGAGCAGTGGCAAGAATTACCTCTAGGGTCAGACATTGATCTGGAAACATGGTGGTCTCGGAAAACGAAATATGTCGAGCCATTCGATAGGGAGTGGGGTCCACCGGAAAAGACTTCAACTCCCGAAATACACATTGCTCATGGAATCGATGACATCCCATCCGTTGACTGGGAGCCTACAAATGAAAGACATAGAAATGTTCCCGAAAGTACAGATTCACTCACTCGGGAGACTATGGCTAGTGCAATTTCTAGTCTACCAAGGTCCCCGAACTCAGTCGAAGTGCAAAAGAGCCCTGTGGACCCTCAGCTCCAGTTTGAGAGCGACATCCCCGATTCTTTAAGCTGGCGAAGAAATTCACAAACACAAAATTTTGGTGAGACCGTAACGATTGCAGAATCCTTCGCAAGAGCGCATCATAAAATGTATTTCTAGCTCCAAGTCATACACAATACAAAAAGATCACAAACAATGCTTCATCATCGTATTCCTGTTTCAAATGAAGCCGTTTAGTTGGTTATGTAAGTTTTGGTACGTAGTGCTACCCAAACTTAGAAAGAATGGAAATGAGTTATTGCGCTTTGGTAGAATTCACACCGGACAGATGCAATCCATAGTAGAACTCTACGCACTTTTCTTTTCCCGGTGGCTTACGAGGCGCTCCACAGAACCCGGGATCTCGTCCGGGCGGACAATTGAGGCTCCAGCTGATCAGTCGGTCGCCTGAAGCTTAAAGGGTTCAATCTCACTTTGAATTTGCAGCGGTATATACAGTCGTTACTAATGAGTAAAGCTATTCAGTGTCCAATCATCGAATTAATAAACACACAGAAATTCACGTGCATTTGTCTATGCCCACACATCTGCCTCCCTTTACTCCAGCGTTTGGAGCGCAAAACATTGCCCAAGATAACATTCTGCAGTCAGCAGACCATGCTCGCATAGGTATTAATGGTTTTGGGCGGATAGGTGAGTCAATAAACTTTGAATACATACAATAGACCGCCAGTACTAATATATCAAGCTTTAAGGTCGGAAATTGTTGCGAGCATCATTGCTTAGATACGATGTCTCCGTTGTAGCTATCAACCACACTTGCTCTTCGGTTGAAGAGGTTATTCATTTACTAATGCATGGCTCGATACATGGTGCTCTTGACAAGTTGATGGGCCACAAAACGCAAATCGATATCTTACCTGATGGAAGCATTCCTTTGGGATTCAACACGCTTTCGTGACCATCATACATGCCTCGACGCAATCTCAACATGTTCTAGATGGAAATAGCACCAAGGAAAGGCGTTCAGGACGCTTAATAATGGGAAATATCATTCCAACCACTACTGGTGCAGAGAAAGCTATAAAAACTGTGTTGCCCAAGCTGGCCGGTAAGGTTTCTGGTATTTCAGTTTGGGTGCCAACAGCAAATGTATCTATGGTGGACTTGACTGTCGAAACTGTACAGTCAACATCTCTCGACGAACTAATGATCGAGTTCCGTACTCCAGCTCAACAAGAGCTATCTGGTATTCTCCAAGTTGAAGATGAGGAGTTAGTGAGCTCATACTTTCTCGGCAACTCGTGAAGTGCAATTATTGATTTAAAGGCTTCAGTTGAACTTAAACTCAATGTAAGTAACTTACACACTCTCAGGCAGGATTTTAAGCTAATATCTCCAAGATCTTCAAGATTATTGCGTGGTATGATAATGAATGGGCTTACTGCTGTAGGCTTCTAGATATGCTAGTTTTTATGAATAGTCAAGGATAGAGATTTGAGAGTTATGTAATCAAAGTGGGAATTGAAACCAAGTTAGTCGATAGAATATATTGGCTCTCTCGTAATTCGATTTGAGTGATAATAGTTCTATAGCTAGAAAAGCTGTTTCAAATAAAATGCAAGAGGTTGGATTACATTTTAGGCTAATGGCTGTATGTCTTCAGACCCACTGTATAAAACTCTGGAGGGGGCCAGTACCCCGCCATTAGTAATAACAGTAGTCATAGGCCCACCCCCAGAAGAAGCTGTGTTGGGATATGGAGACATCCGCTCTTCTTCTTGGCTAAGAATGACTGAGACATTCTTCTAACTTTCTTCGAAAGGGTTCCTAGAAATGTGTATGGGTAAATATAATTTTCAAATCGAATGAAAATAGCAGAGCTAATACCTTGAGAAGGAAAGATCTCAATATAGAGGAAATTAATTGTCGGAAGTCGGCTCCTATTCGGCTAGTCGTCGGGATAGCTGTTAGCCAGTCAGGCTAAGGATCCATCTGTTCAACGTCACCAACAGTCACCAACTGGTTCAGAATGGAAATCCCTGTTATACTCTTGCTAACTTCTACGATCACTAGTAGTACAACATCAATTTTCGTGGTAATCCTAGTTAATACGACAGTAACCCCATATCGAGGACACGTGGTCAAATTTGCATAAATAAAATGCAAGAGTAAACGAAAACGTCTCATTGAATAGTGGGTAGTGATGAACTGTTGGGTAACTAGCATATAAGAGTTCGGCTCTGATCGATGTATCCTGCGGCAACTTCGCTTGCACCACGAGCCATGCAGTCAATGGAGAGATCTTGGGGCTCGATAAATGCGTGCTTGGAACTCGTCATTGATACAAGCTTTTATAAGCGTACTGAGCTTTAATTCATTCATTTCTTTGAATGCAAAGCAATTCCAGACAATATTATAGGTATGATTCGGAAGTCCGCACTATATCTGGGATACCCTAAGGTTATCTTGAAAGATTTTGCAACGTAAAGTGATTGAAACGAGTGACGCGGTCGAGTAACGCGGTCAAGTGACGTGAAGGCGAATAGACCAACATCTACAGTATGATCTATTCTATTTGCCGATGTTTCAACAAGGAGAACTCGTATGCAACTGTTTCCAAAGCATTGGGATTTTTGGTCTGGATCTTCCAAATTGAGACGAACAGCTCGCTTGGGGTGGGGGTATTCGCAAATCAATTGGTGCGATGGTCGGAGCGGCGGAGTTGGAAATCTCCGCCATTACCACGCCCAAAATAATGACGCAAACTCGTTTTTAGAAGGAGCAGTGAGAAAATTGGGTCAACAACAAGCAATTCGCGCATGACAGAGGTTCTGATTTACGAGGAAATTTTCTTATCCGGTATTACTGGGCCCGCTGTTATGCGGCTAGAAAGATAAGATTTTTTTGGCAGGTCTAGCGACCGTCGCTTGTGGAGCAACTCACTTCGACTTTGCTTGTACCATCAAATCTTCTGGAGATGATGTCCTCAACTTAGCTAGCTAGAGCCTCAGATCTTAGCATTCTTCATTATTCATCGCTTCTGGCATGTAATACTCTATACCTATGATACCGAAAAATGTCCTCTTGGTTGCTGACCGATTTTATGATTAGCCGAAACAAGGGTTTAATTCTCAAGGCGAACAAATAAATGCGGAGCAAGTTACTTTCCAGATACGAAACCCCACAGAATTCACAGTACCCTGTCTAGTAAATTCTGAAGACGATAATGGAGACTCCACAAGATAATGTGCGCCCCGGATTTATTGTTCGGGGAATCGTTGCTTCCCCAGGAATAAAAGGATCCTGTCTTGGCCTTCTTATTTCTCTTGACCCTTTAAGTTTCTCTCTCATTCATATCTTACTACTTGTCTTGGCCATCTCGTCTTACCCGTCATGTCTTCTAAAAATTCTTATATGGGACTGCGCGGCAGAGCCCTAAGAATTGCCCAGATTGCGTTTATCGTTGGACCAGGCTTCACATTGTTTGGTTACAACCAAGCTGGTCTTGGCCCCTTAGCGACACTTCATAGTTGGGCACATCAATTCCCATCGCTGGACACAGTCAACACGACCGGCCCACTCAAATCACACAACTCAATCAACAGCGGTGCCGTTATTGCATCTTTTCAAATCGGATCTTTAATGGGTGCCTTATCATGCATATTTTTAGGAGATCTTCTAGGTAGACGAAGGACAATCTTTCTCGCTGCTTTCTTGACCCTCATTGGCCAAGTTCTCCAAGTCTCGGCTTATAACTTGATTCAGTTCGTTATCGGTCGACTGGTTTTAGGCATGGGCGTTGGAGAGATTAGTGTTATGATACCGGTCTGGCTAGCGGAATGTTCACCCGCGGCTCACAGAGGGCGAGATGTTGTCACTGCAGGTATCTTTATGTGTTTCGGCTATTCTGTGTGTAACTGGATAGACTTCGCATTTTACCACCTCCCAAACACGAATTTACAGTGGAGATTACCTTTGGCAATTATTTCTCTGCCGCTTTCACTTATCATGATGGGTGTTGTCTTTCTCCTTCCTGAATCTCCTAGATGGTTAGTTAGTGTAGGAAAAACAGCCGAGGCTACGAAGAATCTCTCAGTTATCAAAGATCTTTCAGTCGAAGATGATCGCATTCGCTTCGAAATTGCCCAGATCGAGTCATCGCTCGAATTTGCAACAGAAAACAGTGCATCACTCTTGCAGCTTTTCTCCAAGGATGATAAGGAGAGATTGCTTTACCGATTCGTTCTATGCATATTCTTACAATTTGTTCAGCAGATGTGTGGAGGTAATCTCATTTCAGTTTACGCATCGACCATCTTCCAGCAAAATCTCAATCTGGAAGTTAGCTTGGCTAAGATCCTGGCTGCTTGTGCCCTTACCTGGAAATTCCTTTGTTGCTTCATCGCCTTTGTCGCCATTGATCGATGGGGACGTCGCGCGGTATTCATCATTAGTGGCGCCGGCATGTCAATGTGTATGCTCGCATTGGCTGTTAGCACTAGTTTCCCCTCCTCGAACAAGAGTGCCGCCATTGCTTCTGCGTTCTTCATTTTCCTATTCAACTTCTTCTATCCTATCGGATTCCTGGGTGCCAATTTCCTATATTGCAGCGAGATTGCTCCAGTCCGACTTCGCGTGGCAATGAACTCAGTTTCAACTGCGAATCATTGGTTATGGAACTTTGTTGTGGTTATGGTTACACCAGTTGCCATTGATACCATCGGATATCGCTACTACATCATGTATACGATTATCTCAGCGCTTATTCCCGTCTCAGTGTATTTCTTTTATCCGGAGACGATGAATCAGAATTTAGAAACTCTCAACAATTTGTTTCGAGATGCGCCTTCAACCCTCCAGGTTGTATCATTATCACTCAAGGTGCCACGTGGTGAAGTGGATGAAGAACCATCGGGTAAGGCAGAGTATGTTGGAGGGGTGGAGCAAGTTGAAAAGGTATAATTTTGAAGAGTTTACAAATTGTATAGTAGTAAATTGTAACTTTACACTCAATTTTAATATTCCTTTCAAGTTACCAACCTGGTTCGATTGATTAAAATCTTCGATTGCTCACTAATTTTTCCAGCTTTCAAATATTCAGCTACACTCCCACCTTAACCCTTTACACTCTAAGAGTTTACTCTCCTGAAACACCATCATAATTATTCTGTAAGTACCTATTAATACTAAATAGTCGTATTATCTTAAAACCATCGATCTACCCCGTTTCCACTACTTTCCAATTCAATTACCCCCCACAGGAGTCATCAACTACCGAATTCACATTCACTATACAGGCAGGCACCTTGCTCGCCAAACATCTACTTCACTCCTTTCCATACTATAAAATCCACTGAATCTCCATCCATGGCACTCTCCATGCAACGAACACAATAATCATCAAAACCTATTAAGAGTTTGGGCAATTCCAATCTTGGAGCTGAATCTTCTCTCAAACCTTTCCAACCACCTCCTTTGATCTCACAATTCCTCAAACCATCTCACAATTTTCTCACGAGCATACAATATCATTCCCGCTATCCTTAATTCTCATCATTCATCACCGTCGTGCATGATTTCCGCTATCATCCAATTCCCAAACATCAGTATTGAATCCGCAAAATCTCACTCCCAAACCCCTACTACCATCTCCCTCTATCAAAGGAGTAACCAGTTGTACACCCCTAATACTTATCCAAAGCCTTTTTGCCCGCTCTCAGAACTACCTTGGGGGCAAGCTTGTGAGAGACTCAAGTAGTCATGATACCCAACGCTCACAGTCTAACAATCATTTATATACCTAGAACTTCAAAATCAAGAGTCAAGACTTCCGCTTATTCCTTTCCTTTCCTTGGATCCCTGACAGCTTCAATTCACTGACCTCGATTTCCATACTTCTCCTCATTTTATAGACCCCTCACACCTCTCTATTACCTATATAAAGACTTCTTCTTGTATGAATTATATTCAAATTCAGTCCAATCCTTATTTATTACAAAAAAAGGGACATCCATCACACTAGATTCCCAGAATTTCTCTTCTTCTTCGATCAGTATGTTAATCATCGTATTCGTAACCTCTTTCTGTTGTCTTTTTTGGTGTCATCACTCTTTATTATCGTTGTTCTCTTCCGATTTTGGTTGTTCTTCTCTTGCTCATCTGATCTACTTCCTATCGTCAATTCTCAAAACAACTTTTTTGTCATCACTTACATCTATCCCTCGCTCTATGTCTCTGCATTCATAACCAAAGCCTTCAATCTTTCTCTTTCCCTTTCCCTGAGCCCCAAATCTCACACACATGTACAGTCCCGCTTATGCGCCTTAGCTTTGCATATATTTCTTTTCCACAAATCCCTCATCTCGTTCCTTATATACACCACCTAGTCCCATCCAATTTCAATCCAACGACGTCCCACTTATCTCCCTTCCCCTTCCCCTTTCAATCTCCTTCCCATTCACTTAACCTCCCATCCCCCAACCCTCACCCCCACCATTTCTCTCTCGCTTCCCCTTCCCCTTCCCCCTACCCTATAAAACACCTCTTTTTCTCCTTAATCCTAGCCCCCCTAGAAAACCTATATAGATTTGCTCAGAACCTCA